GTGTGTACCAATGTCAGTGAAAAGTTTGTGCATTGTGGAATAAACCAATTTATTTCCAATTATATTTCAATAGTTTACAGACAATGACAATTATTTTTGTTGTTGTTTGTCTTGGTAATATTTCGAGAAAAATTACTGTCCATGTACCATGTACAACATTCTATCGCCTACTTCTTCTCATTGTCTTTGTTGCATATATATATATATATATATATATATATATATATATATATATAACACCCATAATGTCAGGTATTTCATATTATTATTATTGTCAAATAAGTAGTACTGTTGAAACATGTTACAACATGAACAAACAGGAGAGATAAATAAAAGCGTACTTCTCATTTTTCATTTTAAAAGAATAAATACAATGATTAAAGCTGCTTACAGTTACAAAAATGACTACTATATGCGTGAATGGATAAGCATAAATTTTAATATCAGCATAGTCTAGTATGTTACTCGCCTCTCCTTTGATTAATATCTAACTAATATTACGCATATATCAACCGTATGCCAATAACGGGTAAAAACTGAATATTATTATTAAAGCATAACCTTCACCTGAAAAATAATCTCTTTTGTTTATTTTTTTCATACAAGAATGCATTTTCTGGTCTTTAATAGAGAGTAGACTATATATACAACTAAGATAATCATTGAGAAGTGAATAATATTCATCAAAGTGCATATTAACATAAAAATTTGGAGTGGTAGAAATAATACGATTATGCACAACTAGATTAGGTAATATTGAAGTATAGAAGGGAACGTAAGGAAAAACAAACAGATTGAACATATGTAAACTACATACGACTAATTGACAAGATTTTAACTTTTCTGTGATATTTTTGAAAATTTTTCTAATAATAGCTTGATTCCACAGTATTTTGGTACAACTATGGAATTTTCAACCTCGCCTTGATTACTAGCTCGCTAGTTTTCTAGCCGGTCCCAAGCCCGGATAAAGAGGGAGGGTTGGGGCGTGGTGCTAGCAACTCCACCCCCAAACTTAACCAAACTGCTACAGAAACTTCAACGCATAAATATATTAAAAATACTAAAAATATAAACAATAACCTTATTTTTCGCTGGAATCGGAGAAGTGAAATGACACAGGCTGGTGAAAACCTTCGGGAAGCCAGTTAGCCGATGTACCTCCTTTCGATGAAAGCAAAAATAAGGATGGGGACGTGGAATGTTCGTACAATGTACGAAGCTGGGAAGGCTACCCAGGTAGCCGCAGAAATGAGAAGATATAAAATAGAAGTGTTGGAAATCTGCAAGAGCAGATAGAACGGATGTGGAAGGAGCCAACTACCAATTGGAGAGAAAATAATCTACTCCAGTCACCCAGAGGACAATCACGAGCACAACGAGGGAGTAGCCATCATGATGTCACCAACAGCAGCCAAAGCTCTCATGCAGTGGGAACCAATCTCCTCCAGGATAATGACAGCCAGGTTCAACTCAAAAGTAAGGAAGGTTACAATCATTCAATGCTATGCGCCTACAAAAGTCTCAGAACAAGAGAAGAAGGAGGATTTCTACAGACAACTACAAACAGTAATGGACAACGTCCCAAATGTCAATATCAGAATCCTGATGGGTGATATAAATGCGAAGCTGGGAGGAGACAATACAGGAAGAGAACTCACCATGGGTCGTGAGGCCCTTGGTGAAATGAACAACAATGGTGAACTCTTCTCAGACTTCTGCGCCTTCAATGATTTGGTGATTGGTGGCAGTGTGTTCAAACACAAGGATATACACAAGGCGACATGGATTTCACCAGATGGACACACCAAAAACCAGATAGACTTCATTTCAATCTCAAAGAAGTGGAGACGGAGCCTACTGGACACAAGATCGAGGAAAGGAGCAGATGTGGTTTCAGACCACTATCTAGTACAAGGGACTTTCAAGGTGAAGCTAAAAGCCTCGAGGATAGCTGGGGATAGGCCACAATGCAAGTTCAACACGCAAAAACTGAAGGACACAACCACAAAGGACACTTTCACTGCAATTGTCAGAGCAAAGCCGGAAACACTACGTGGCATCACTGAGGAATCATCCGTGGAAGACCATTGGAACTCTCTGAAGGTGATTTTCAACGAAACGTGTCCAACGGTTTTAGGAAGAAAGAAGAGACAAAACAAGGAATGGCTCTCAACGGACACTTGGAAGCTAATAGAGGAGAGGAGAATGGTGAAAGAGAAAATGACTAAATGCAAAGACAGACAAGAGAAGGAGACGCTGAGCTCAACTTACACAGCACTGGACAAAAAAGTGAAGAAGAGTGCCAGGAAGGACAAAAGACAATTCTACGTCAATCTGGACATTGCAGCTGAGAAGGCAGCAGGCAAAAGGGACCTGAGGACACTATATCAGATAACCAAGTCTCTATCCGGGAAGAGATCAACACAAATGAAACCTATAAAAGACAGCCAAGGGAACCCAATTACCAAGGAAGAAAGACAGATTAAACAATGGGCGGACCACTTCAAAGGAATCTTGAGCCGACCACCACCTACAACTCGTCCAGAAATACCAACAACAGCACGTACACAACTGCAAGTTGACACCAATCCTCCAACGAAGGCTGAAGTCTTGAATGCAATCAAGCTTCTGAAAGCCGGAAAAGCATCTGGACCAGATGGAATACCCCCTGGAGCACTGAAAGTGGACCCAGAGACGACAGCAGATATGCTGACTCCATTATTGCAAAAGGTCTGGAAGGAGGCAAAGGTGCCTACTGACTGGAGGAAAGGTTACCTGGTGAAACTACCAAAGAAGGGCGACTTAGGACTCTGCAAGAACTGGCGAGGAATCATGCTCCTGTTGACGCCAAGCAAAATTCTGAGTTGCATCATCCTGAAGAGAATAAAGGACGCACTGGATACAGAACTCCGACGAGAACAAGCTGGATTCAGGTAAGGCAAATTATGTTCTGACCAAATTGCAACTCTACGCATCACCATCGAACAAAACATGGAATGGCAATCAAACCTCTACATCAACTTTATAGACTTTGAGAAGGCCTTCGACAGCGTTGACCGCGATATAATTTGGAAACTACTCGAGTACTACGGCGTACCCCAAGTATTCATCAACCTTATTAAACAGCTGTACGACAACGGCACATGTGAAGTGATCCACAACGGAAAACTCAGCGAGGCTTTTGGAGTAAACACAGGAGTCAGACACGGGTGCTTATTATCACCAATAATATTCCTAATTGTGGTCGACTGGATTATGTGTCAGACAGTGGGAAACGAGAAGACAGGGATATCCTGGACCGACGTGAAGAACCTAGAAGACCTGGATTTCGCGCGTGGATGATTTATGTTTGATGTTACACAAAATCGAAGACTTACAAGCGAAAACCGACAAACTGGTCGAAGAAGCAGCAAAGACAGGACTCCAGGTGAACATAGACAAGACGGAGGTTATGAAACTAACCAACCAACAACAGCAGCAACATCCAGCGCCAATCACCATCAACGGGAGGGATTTGAAAGAGGTTACTTCTTTCACTTATCTAGGGAGCATTGTCTCAACCACAGGAGGAACGGACGAGGATGTCAAATCGAGAATCGGGAAGGCGAGAAACACATTCATCAACATGAAACCAATCTGGAAATCTTCGTCACTCAACTCAGCATCAACAACAAAATTCGGATTTTCAATACAAACGTCAAGTCAGTTTTGCTATACGGATCAGAAACTTGGCGGGTCACCAAGAATATTTTCAACAGCCTGTTGCAGACCTTTATCAACAACTGTCTTCGTTCTATACTGAAGATTAGATGGCCGGAAAGAATCACCAACAAGAAACTATGAAAACTGGACAGCTGTTTCCTCAATCCTAGTTTGGGACTCTTTGTCAGTACGCACCCACCACCAGGGTTCGAAACCAGGACCCTACAACTCATGATGAAAATCTAGAGATTTAGTGTTTTTGTATGCAACCTGATAACAGTATATTAGTCAACAAAATACTACTACGCATTCATTATATAAATCCACTTTATTATATAAGGAGTTGAGATATAGATAATATTCTTGTCACCAACGCTAAGAGTAGTGTTATCCAGTTATTCACTGGTTTGCAGAAGCCTGAAAGGCAAGTTCTAGCAGCTGACCACTTTTATGTGTACATATCAGTTTACCCGTTCCTGTGGAGCCAGTTATATTGGTGGCTCAACGAGTATCCACTGAGGTTTTCATTACCTCTTCTTATCACGAGTCGCTACACTTTTTTGTCTTTCTTTTTTGAATTATTATAAGTAACTGCACAATTTATATGTACAATCTCACCAGTCCTACTGAAAAGTCACCACGAATGGTTGATATTTAATTACAGTTATTTGTGAAAAATATGTATATTGTGATAAAGCCTGATGGGTTCTAATTGAAAACAGCATTGTTCTCTGAAATGTGTTGTTTTAAAAGTGCATTACTAGATCAATTATTCGATTCAACTACGCTAAAAAGATAATACACATTAATGAAATCATGTCGAAAAGGTAGCACTTAGTGTGTTTAACAATAATTTTTCATAACAGAGTAGATATCTATCTCTGTTTTCTTCCCTGAATTGAAAATTATTATTATGCATTAGTTACCTGTGCTTCCTTTCCAATAAAGTTTGAGCCTTTATACAATTATATACATACTTTTTATTCCTTTGCTTAGTGAGTGGAAAGTAGGGGGCTTCAAGATTGAGATTTCAAGCTTCAGTAGTGGTGGCGTTACTGCTTTTACAGGATAAGGTTGCTAGTCTTACGCTCAAACTTTCTTCTTTACCAGGCTTACTACCGGCTAAACGAGGTTTAAGAGTGCATTGACCGCGGATCGAACATAAGACGACCAGTGTTCTCCCACTGAACTACCGAGGCACGCATTCAGTTATAATTGGATAGTAATTTTTGAAAACAAACAGGCAAATACACACAACGCATAATGTGACATTGGAAATCAAAAAGAAAACTCACTTGAAGTCGACCTGAATAAATATCATACGATAGAAGAAAGTGTGTATTACTTGAGTGTACAGATGCTGTGCCACGTACACGTGTACCTGTAAAAGTAGACACACCGCTGCTCACAAAACCACCATAATTATCACTGGGAACACCAGTATCATTCACATCATCATCATCACTAAGGACAGATAAACTCATGATCAGTTTAGTTTGATTTGGTGCCAATTCCATAGGTTGAGCAGCATAATGAATCTTGATTTCAAGTGATGAATTTTACATTATTTTTCCGCAGAAAAGAAAAGAGAAATCAATTAATTCATTTCAATAAATAACAGTACTAAATGATACAAACGTTGAATGTGTATTTTTCAGTATATAAATTTTACGAATTAAGAAATATGGCATAATATATAAGTGGTGATATTTGTAAGCGTATAATTTCTTCTCTCTCTCTCTCTTCTAGTTTTGGTTCTTGTCTTGCATGCCCCTGCTTATTTATTTTCATAATTAAAGGCTAACCAAAGCCCATTATGTTGATGATGAGGAATAAATAAACGAAGTTTTTATCAGATCTGTTGCCAACTAAATATGTATACATATGTCAAGTAACAATTTAGGCATTCTACTTATAAAAATTATTTATACAGAAAAACAAAGGGAATAGCAATAACAACTTATTCAACTTGTTGTTCTCAGCTAGACCTGCATAAACAAGCTGAATGTACACAAAGAAATGGAGGAAGCAATGTTCACACACACATACAATTTCTAGTGAAATTTAATACAAGTAGCACTTATTATTATTACCGTTATTATGAAGAAATGTTTTGTAACCCAAAGGTTCTAGTCTCCATCCCTGGTGGGCTCATGGGTACGTACTGCAGAAGAGTCCCAAACAAATAAAAAACAACTGTACAGTTCCCCCTGGTTTTCGATCGTTCCCTAAATGAGGTCAATTCATGATCAGACTTCAAATCAATCAAACCCTTGCAAACCAACACTTGAAATAAATGTTTTAGGTGATAATATTTCGGTGTGAGGATTAAAGGAATATATCAGCCTATATATATATATATATATATATATATATATATATATATATCATACTTTTGTTAGTACCGGGTAGTTCAAAACTTAAAGATGACCAATAAGATAAACGTTACATTAGGAACATTCAAGTTTGTGATCTAAAGCTCTCTTTCATAGCTTCAGTTATCATATCCCAGATGGATGTAGAAGTTTCAATTACTGTTGATCAGGTTAATAATAATATTATTGTTAGACGGTTGGAGGTAATCGATAGGAAGCTTCCGACTCAGGTTTCATTTTTGTTATCACTATTCAGCAAGGCATGTTCACAACCTAAAAGGACCAATGACTTCTCTGAAATTCGGACCCGCTTCACGCACTGTTGTGGTCAGAGATGTTAACACTGAGCTATTCGGAGTCACGATTGAACTCCTGTAGGACTGTAATAATAATAATAATAATAACTGATGTTGTGAAAAAAAGATAACCGCGTGGAATAATATCAATGCTCAATGTGTCGTATCTATATATTGACATTATTTACTGTTCCTTCTTTGATATTCTTTAGTATTTCAACCATTATTTTTCTTATTTCTTCCCTTGTGGCTTTACCGGTTGAATATTACAAAAACTGGTATTATTTTTTGCAAAGAGCATTACAATATATTACACTTCTTATATCTATTGCACTACTATAAACCTGTAGTAATGTAAAACTATTCCAGTAGATCAATCCGTAACCAAAGTGAACAAAACCACTGCCTAATTCGAAGGTAAAAGATTGTTATTCAACCAGAAGCAACTTAAAATAAATATCACAAGAACAGAAATAAAGACAAGTAACAGTGGCTGTTATTTTAAGGTATAATGAACTATACCGCTTACACAGGTGAACACAAGAGGATTTCAAGTTCCCCTTTCGATAGTGAATAACCAAGTGAATCGAGTAAATATCTGTTGAACTAGTGTTAATTATCTTAAGTTTTTATCTTTTCTTAAGTAGTTGCTAGCTTGAGATGTTAAAACTATCAAACTCTCCACTTCGAATGCAAAACGTTTTTGCAGCTGTCACTATATATTGTATTATCCTTGTTGAATATTAAGTAGTAATAATAAGCAAACATTAATTTGCTATTTTATTTTTCAGTAAATATATCTAGATTGCTTTATTTTTCTTTATTCTAACAAATAAAAAGAGTTCATTCACAATTGGTGATAAACAGCATGTCTTTTAATGACCGACACAAAGGCAAAGAATATGATAATGATTCACAACTGGTAATACCTCTTAGTGATCACCGTAAATAATTAAAATTAAAACAATTTAATTATCTATGCATTAGACTATGTAATAGGCAGATTTGAGCTACTACCAGGTCGCTGAGACCTGGTTCAACTTGAGAGCTGAGAGGTTGACATTCCATGAGTTGCATCTCTCCAAATTAGACTGATATAAGAAGGTGTAGAAGATTTAAGATATATGAGTTTGGAAGACAACTATAGTGATAAGGCAGTGAATGTTGTCTCCTTCAACGTCATCAGGTTATATATTCATGATGGTGGTCAAATTAAGATATTTCAGTAATTTAATAAGGTTTTGACTGTCTGCTTAAGGTATCTGTGTGAAGGTAGGCCACTCGAAACCGAGAAAAAGGAGACCCAGGGAGGCTTAAAATGTAAAAAAGCGAGAATTTGAATCGTGTACTAACTTCACAGTGATACCCAATCATCAAATGCCTTCACTGTTTCTTTTTACAAATCTGCTGATGATTTTTTTTAATGTGCTTTGACAAATTATTACACGCTTATTCGCTATAGTTTCTGCACATTTCTAAATTTATCTGTTATTTTCTAATGTAGAGATATATATTGATCACATTCCAAATTTAACACAAATGAAACTTTTACTTCGTAAATAATAGAGAAACAGCTATACTATATATATATATATATATGTATATATATATATATATATATCCTCACTACATCCCTTTCTGCAGCATAGAGTGCAAATTACCTATTGTTCTGTGTATGCGTATCAAACTGTAACCTAAACCACCTCAATAGTTTTAAGGTCATTATGATTGAACACTGATAGTTAATGGTGTTTATATATATATATATATATATATATATATATATATATATGGTATCTTTTCATTTATTCTAACAAAATTATAGTAAGAAGCACAGTTTAGGTGACACTATACACCAATATAAAATCTTAGGTAATATAAATATAAGTATATTCATCAGATTGTGGTATATAGGATTATCGGTATCTACATTCAAATAATCAAGTTGTAATTTTGAAACCTTGATTCGCAGGAATTTAACTGACTTCAAGCTTGATCGTGACTGACTTTAGTCAGAGAAGCATTAAAACCATCCTTGTCCCTGACTCATGGATGCGTACTGGTGAGTCACAAGCAAGGACGAAATAACTATCCAGTACTACCTGTTTCTCATTGGTTATCTAACTGAAGACAGTTCGTGATCAATCTTGAAATTAACTCGTTAGTTAGAATTTTGTTTCTATGCTTATCAAAATATTTCAACAGACAAATAGTGCTGCTAACTCAATGTTAACATAATGTACATGATTGAAATCTCAGGTGACAGATTTAGAAATTAATCAGTTAGTTACTCATATAACCACTTCCCTTGATTATTTTGAAGAAATAGAGAACGAACATATTTGCAGGATAAAAGAGCTCATGTTTATGCTTTGTTTCATGATTTTTTTTATCAGCTGCCAACAGCCTAAAAACGACACCAGTTATTATAAACGCAAAAATATTTAACATTCTTCAGAAATTATTTTCCATTCAAAGGGTATTTAACACTATTTAGAGTAATAGTGGAACAAGAGAAATGACCAAAAAATAGTTAATAATCTAATAACCAGAAATATTGTATGCATAATGTGATGGCACGTTTGAGAGAGGTTGGGAGTGAACAAATGGTTAATGAAAGTAAAATTATAACGTGAACAAATAATGAAGTAAATTGGAGGATTAATAATGAGTTCAGCTCAATGGATTTTAATCAAAAAATATACTGTGACGCAACAACAACAGAAAAAAACACAATATTATCTTTTTGATTACAACTCATTTAGATGAACTAATTATTATTTATCCAGTGAACTCAACTGCCTGTGTTTACATAATCATTTTACTTTTAATTATTTCAATTTGGCTGAGATTTATAAAAATGATTTTTACATATGTCTACTTTTCCCTAGGCGCCCAATTATTGTGGAACTATCCGATGAAATCCAAATTATCAGCCATCTTGTTCCACAAGTGCACCCTTTGCGTTGAAATAATTTTGCATTTATAATATAATTTATATCATTTTTGAGCCGTTAGCAGATGATCCAAAGTTGTGAAATCAAAAACATGAGCTCTTTATATCCGGTAAATTATGTTTGTTCTCTTTTGTTCAAATTAATTCTTTAGACTACAAATTTTTGCAGGAATTGAGATTAATTTCAGTGTAGATTAACTGCATCACGAACCAATACCATTTGGAGAATCGCTGAAAACTAAGGGGTGCTAGTCAGTGTGGTTTCGGGCTCTTTATCAGTGTACACCCACAATCCCACCAGAAATTCAACTAGAAACTTCAAGTTACGAGACCAAGCTCGTTGACCTTTTAGACACTAGAGTTGACCATTGAGTGACCTGTGAATTCCAAATTCTGTTAATTCATGATATAGTACAACAGTCAACCAATGCCTTCGAAAAGCATCTAATTCATCTTGATATGATGGAACTCACTGGCCAAGACTTCTCAGTACAAATGCAGAATATCCACCCAGTAACTGTCAGTAACCTGGAGATTGATATTTAGAATATGGATTTTCTTAGCGATAAAGATCAATTTTAATCCAAATGTCTCAATAAACAACAAGCTTTACCTCTTAGCCCGAAGGTTTGAGTTCGATCGCAGGTGGAGTCATGGATGCACACTGCTAAAGTGTATCAAACAAGGACAAAACGGCTACCCAGCATTCCCTAACTCGTGTTGGTTCATAACGAAATCGACATTGTCATTAGTTATTATCCATATCTAGTGGATATTTACTTTTTCGATTACAGTAAGGATAATTATTTTGAAAAAAGAATTACCTTTAAATAGTCACCTCTTACCTGTAGGTATTTATTTATTGGTTCAGGGAAAATAGGTTTTGACAAAGGCAGCACAAAATCGTATTGATTGGTTACACTAAAGTTGAATAACAGAGCTGTACGTTGTCTTTGCTGACTGCTTGAAAGTGTGAAAGTTTCGATTTTCTGAACATTGGAGGATAAGAAACTGGAAAAAATAGTTGGGAAAGAAAGAGATAAGGAAAATCTTAATTCATAGATGAGAAAAGAAGAAAAACTGAAAGATTTTTATCAACAGCACTATTTCACATAGTGCGAGTGATCCCATAAATATTCATTTCACAAAATTTGCCATCGTTTTGGACCATCATGATTAGCAGTGGAATGCAGGATACAAGTTACGTTCTATTTGAGACTCATTAGCTGGATATAGCTGCGTCCCCTGCGAGTAACGGCTTTCTCACTGAGACTCGAACCCTGCACACATCCGTTCAAACGCCAAATCATTATTCGCTAGGCCACAAAAACCACCTCTTGTGAGATAGATATCAGTTATTATTTGTTTTTCAGCCTAGCGGATAATGCTTGGGCGTTTGAAACGAGGAGTCCAGCCTTCAAGTCTCAGTGGGAACACCATCATCACGCACTGGGAATGCAGGTGCACTCGGATGCCTAGTCCAAAATAAGATGAAGTGTGCATCCTGGATTCCACTGCTTATCACCATCGACCAAAATAATTTCACGTCAATCCTCAGACATCGTCAAAGCGTCAGTACTAGCAGCCGACATATCAACACAGACCAAGCATTTCGGTTTCACATAATCGATCAAAGGGAAACGCGAACTGACCATAATAAACTTATAAATGCGTAAATGTTGTGAAGCTACTTTAGTGGATCGGTAGAAGTTTGCAACATGATCCACTGGATTTCATTTCACTAGATGAATAAGAAACCTTTTCTCTCTCCCTATCTTGGTGACAGCATTATAATATAGTCATCCTCTTGACAAATTCGCCAGTATGTAGTATTGAAGATTTCTAAACTAGAAGGAAGAAGCTATACCTTACCCCCTGGTTATCAATAACTCTTTCAGTTGTGTATTACAACGTCAAACTTGATAAGGAGAAATATTTTTTAACTGAAACAAAATATTTACATCACAAGAATGAACAATAAAATAATTAGTTTGATGTTCCATCATCTTATTATTTCAAATTAAAGGTCATTATCAGGGTCAGGTGTTAGGTTGATACTGTACAAACACATATATATCACAACTATCCAGTGTTTTTTCATGGCGAAAATCATTTATGTTCCTAAAATCTACTTATCGATAAGTAGGTGGTTTTTATTGAACGTGGAGAACATTTGTATGGTTTGATTATTTATCTAAGTTCTAGCGACCTGAAAATAGTAATGATAATAATTTTAATAAAGACATATATATATTTTCAGACCGAATCAATGAATTGATTGAATAAGATAAACTATCTATAGATGTAAACCATAATGCTGTCTGTGAAGATGTTTGTATGAGTTAGCATATATCCCTGTATCACTGAGGTGTTGAGATATTATTCAAAATTCCGTTTGGAAATTTGTCCCTGTTGTATGCACCATGACATGACAAGCAGCAGAGAAAAATAAAATCTCTATAAACAGTAACAAAAAAATAAACAGTGGCATTCATTTTTACTGTCAACAGTTTCATTTAATATTAAAGATAGACATTTCAGTAGTACACATAGAAGATAAGGGGTAGGATGTTCTCTAGCCATAAATGTTGATCAGGTTCGATTCCTGAACGACTCACTTCAAAACCTCGACTAGCCCGTAGTAAGCCCGATAAAGAAGGAGGTTTGGGCGTGGTGCTGGCAAACGCAACCGAAACGCTACTGAAACTGCAAAGTATAAAGCCCAAAGCTCTATGATGGAACCCAAAGGGATACAAGATAAAAGAAAAGCATGGTTCTCTCCCTTCACACGGTGAACTGAAGAGTTAACGATCCTTCAACATTTTACATCATGCAAAATAATGGGAACAATAAAAATGGTAATTTTATTCATCCAACACATGAATACTATGACGTAAATAACCATATAAATTTCTGAGTAAACGAAGTACCCAAAGGACCAAAGAAAGTAAAAATTCACAATTCTGATTTAATAAACAGATACTTTTACACGATTAAAATGTTATTTTAACTTGAAATATCCAATTTACAACAGTTTATATCGCTTGTAAAAGTTAAGTAAAGAACAATGAATAATAAATCATAGATTCGGCTTAGTTAAAAACCTGTCACCTGCATATTGAATTCATAAATACTGGTTTCGTTACATTGATATCTTCTTTGCTTATTATAACAGTGATGATGACTGCATTTCAGCAAAGAACTATGCGCAGAAATGTACCAGTTCAAGTTGCCACACTCCACATACCACACAAAAGTAGAGAATTGAGAGAATAAAGAGATTCAAGATAACTTCTATAAGTAAGCAGAAATGTACGGGAGAAAGAACAGTGATATGGAAAAACGTGATCGTTCAAGAGATGTGGAAAATCATAATAACTGAATGCAACTGAGCCATTGGGAATGATTTTGAATCATATCACCAACAGTCAGTTTTAAGCCACTGGTCCTTAGCATCTCAAGTACTCAAACCCGGCAGCCTAAATCTCACTAAGTGGGTGGCACAAAACAGCTGTCACACTTCGTGGATTGATCCCAGACTTTTGGTTTGATCCGGTATTAGCTAGCATTTATCGTTGAAGAAGGCGGTAGCTCGTCATGAGTAACAAGTTGGTACCATTCAAACAACTTCTAAAAATATTATTTAGCACTGAATGATGATTGGTTCTATTTTATTATGGCACTCTTCAGTTGTATTGTCCACTGCTCACCACCCTTCATACAGGTTGAAGTTATTCTCAATAAGGACGTATGATGATGAGTAACACTGTTAATCTATTAAGATTACTGCAATCGATTGAAAAGTGATGTTCAGCGCTTACTAAAAAGACGATGTCAAACATCGATATAATGTAGGTGAGATTAACTATCCTCGCATCTCATATGGTAAATATAACATTAAAGAACTTGGAAAGATACACCTCGAAGCTAGTGATATTCAGACTGCATAAAATCTCCAATAAATTAACAACTATGTATTCATCATTTTTATTCTCATATATGCTGAGAAGTTTAACAGTATGATATGCTTCGATTTTTTTAGCAATGTTCAACCTTTTAGTTTGACTTTCTATCCTTTTTCGAAATTACGTAGACAATATCTAAATTTAATCGTTGCTCTCACAGCGGGTGAATGAGATATGCATATTTGAACAGTGAAAATCGCAGTGTCATACACAGAGTGAAAAAACAACAAAAAACTAAAAGATAGACAGCGAGACAGACAGACCATAAAAATGTGTGACATTTTTTCTCATCCTTTACACTGTTAGTCGATGAAGATTCAGCTCACCTAGAAATAAATGATAGTTTACACTTTATGCAATGTGTCTTTACAAATTCAGAAGTAAGACATATATATATATATTAAAGAAGTCGGTTGAATAAGAAAAAGTGAAGATTATATAATCAAATAACTGCTATCTGGCAGGTTTAATAGAAGAATGAGATGTCTGTGCCTAGTGTGGACGCTTCAACGATGTCTAAGGATTAACATGAAGTTATTTTGGCTGGTGGTGACCGGCGTTCAGCTAACGAGTCCCAAATAGGACTAAATGTATTTCCTGGATTCCACCACCACTCACCATCAAATTAAATAAATCTATTCAAATAGATTTATATCAATTTAATCAAGCGCTACACAATAATCAGTAAAACGATTCATGTTACGATGAAACACAAAAGCTGCAAGAAGGGAAAGTCAATCAGAGAGAAAGAACGATGAGGATAATGTACAATTATAAATTACTTAGAATAATCCCAGCGTGTTTACATTGCTGATTCACATAGAGAAAGGTTACAGTGAGACGTTGTATAGAAGAGATGGATCAACTTAAATTATTACGCCTCAAGACATCACACATAAATAAAAGAGAAAATATTAAAAAAATAATTTCAAAGTGGAGAATATTCAGCATTAGAAAGAAGAGACATGATGTTTTCAGTTTTGCCATATCTTCTAACTTCGATCACCGTGTCCAATAAAACGTGAACTAGGACTATAGCCTAGTATTATCGGTTATTTGACAGACGTTAAAAAATACCAAACAAGATCTTTATATTATCAACACTGAGATTTTACTACCAACTAATCTATTGAGGTTGATGAAATTCTCTGATAAATAAGTGAAGTGATTAACACATTTCATCATTTTACTTCTTATTCATAAATAAGAAGTTGGTGCAGATCAGTCCTATAGTATATGGGTAAAGCAGTCAGATTTTTGTTCATGACGTTTAGAGGATTGTGTATTTCGCCTAATATAATGACAGGATTTGCATAATTGAAATAAGAAATAAAAATATCTGCAAATACGTTTAACTAACCCAAACACTTCACTTTTGTACAAACTTCTTTGTAAAAAAAACAACACCAAAAGATCCTATTACAATCACGAAGTATGATCATTAATATTAGATCTGCAAAGACTGAAAGTATTTCCCCACTGATACCTTCATAGTAGTATCAGCGCTTAATGGGATAATGTAGAGATTATGGACAGTCTAAAATAGGTAAATCAGCTGATAGATTCACAATAATTTCTGTAACCTGTGGTCTAGGATGCCTCTGTCACGTGTGCTGACCCAAAGTCTACTTAATTATGCTAGATCAGTGAAAACAGTGAAAATCGTCAGATCAGAAGGACTGATACCAGCCGGCGAAGTCACTAATTAATGGTTTAAAGAATATAGACAGTAAGTTATTTTGTTTGAAGTCCATGAAACTAATGGAATCAACGCTTGTTTTTTGGTCTGTGTTTTTACAATTGGACATATGAATTATCTGCCTATATGACAACAAGGATAAAGTTTTTAAGTAAGTTGAATGAGAAATATAAAAAAATGAATCCATCAGTAGAGTTTCCTAGTGTTTATTTGGAATTAAATTGAACTTTTAAACTCAGCAATCGTGAAACTGAATCGCCTTTGATTAGTTTCACTCAATAATACCTTCAAATTACAAAAATTGTTATCATTATAACAAAAGTAAATGAATATGCTGAAACTTTAACTACCACTATTACCAACCATTGTTAATACTTGTAATAGCAATAACAGTTTACTTACCCATAAGTAAGTCGAGCATAGAAGGGTATAGGCAGATAAATGCTTCTATCATTTGTGAATACATTAATTACACCAGATATATGATAACTATGTGTTATATGTTTAGCTGAAAAAAACAGAAAAAAGAAAACACAAAATTATTCAAACGGTAAAAGAAATAAAAACTGTTATGATAAAGTTGCTTTTCTTCTGTTATTGAACAAATTCACCAGTAATGCCACTCCTCTGTGTAGATTACATAACATACACACAACTGTTATAGACTTTCAGAGGCTTACAGTTATGATTTTCAATGTATTAATCATAAAAATGAATCCATGATATACAAGCATACTGTTGGAGAAGTTGTCTTTGACTTTTTGAAAGGCTAATTGTATTGTAACAACAGAAGACAAGGGCCAGGCAACAGATCGTTTATTAAGGAAAATCAACACATATTTATAGATTTTAATGTACATTATTGTAGATTATTGTTAGTAGAAAATACAGTCTTTTGATTGGTTGTTTCTCACAGAAAGTTAATCTTGCATCTCTTTGTGGCTGTGTCAGATCATCCATATGCTAACTGTATCCGCCTACGCAAAGCCTTTGTTCTCATTTTCTCACGACCAATGTTGGGGACATAAACATTGACGTCAATTACTGTCTACCAACTTTGGCTAGCAGCCAGCTCTCACCACAGTATATTGAAAGTAGAACGCAATACAAATTCACAGAGACTTCTGTATTCCTATTTTACTTTAGGAACATGACAATGATGGAAAGTTCCATCTCCTTGACATTGTCATGCAACGCCTAGAAGATGGTAGTATCCAGAGGTTAATTTACCGAAAGCCTACATGGAAAGGAAAATACCTACATTTTAATAGTTTTTGTCCAAATAGCTATAAACGAGCACTAGTCAAAACTCTGTACTATAGAACTAGGAAAATATGCTCTCCAGAGAAATTAGAGGAACAATTTATGATCCTCCAAAAGACATTGAAAAACAGCGGTTACCCTCAGAAATTCATTAACAAATGTGGAAGATGTGAAGGCTCAGATATTAAACAAATCACAGTGAGGAAAAAGCCTGTCTTCATTCACCTCGATTTTTAAAGGTGAAAATATTGCAGCAACAGTCAACAGAGGATTGAGTACGTCACTAGCCAGAGATTATCCTGCAGCTAATTTGGTTCCCATCTACAGGACAACAACCTCTTTGGGGCAGTCAAAAGTCGACAGATACCCTTTTCATGTTAACTCCAACTGTGTATACAAATTTACGTGTATCTGCGGGGGCAGTTACATTTGGAAAACAGAAAGAAGGACGCACCTCCGATTTCCTGAACATGTACCAAAGAGCCTACGTCCTAAGGGAACAAATGGTTACAACAGTGCCATTACCAGGCAATTCCTTCATACGGGTCTGGTCACGAAATGGGAATCGCAAAATCCTTTAAAATTATCAATATACGAAAATGCTCAATTCTCCTCAAGTTTGCCGAAGCAATCTCTATCAAACGCCTGAAACTGGATTTATGTGTGTTCAGAAAGAAGCAGTTATCAGTCTTTCCTTGACCTAGCAACTGGATGCCTTTATTCTCTCTTTCATTTGATTACGTAATCTTTGGCTTTAACATCCCTCCTTTCATATGATGTAATTTTGCTTGTCTCTTGTTCCTATGGTTTCAGTTGAACTCGGTACATTGTTTCCCAATTTATTAGTTACTCATTATTTTACGCATCTCTCGTCTTTATTACGTAATTCCCTTACCATTGCATGCATACATTTACTTTGTTTAAACTTGAAATCCCTGTGCAAAGACTATATAAGCGTTATTTTTTGAGCATTGTCCAGAACCTCTTGTCAACTGACATCATGTAAAATTTGCGATTATGTTAAGACTTTCTATACTTAAACTTAATAATTTATTTAAGCTGTAAGCAGCTCATGAGAAGCCAACGAAATAAACAAAAGATGGTACCATCTTATTCTGCACAAACCACTGTTGTTCTTGCGTTATTCACATTTATAAAGGGGAATATATGTAAGAAGTTTCTACATATTCCCTTGAACTGACACTAATCTATAATGGAATGAAAGTACCGATCCCACTGAAAAGAAATTGAGAATGCGTAAAGATTAGCAAGTTGTGGTTAAAGAAAGCGAAAATGGCTATAAGCGGCCAATGAGAACTAGTACACACATAAAAGACATTACTTCGGCATTTTAAGCTAAGTTAGAAACTGATTCAGATAATAGTAGTGTTACAATTATGGTTAAATGAAGAACAGTATTCATAGATAATAATCATTTCATTTGCCAGTGTTGGTGTGATGACAACAGTTTTGAGAGATCATTATTAGTAGGTTTGTTGGTTGGTGTCTCTACTAATTTGACCTTGTCAAGAAGTCGAACACGACAGGAAAATATTTCATGAATAATCCCTATCCAGACATTAATGAAAACAAAACATGTCTGTCTGTCTGTCTGGATTCAACATAGAACTTGGCACCGAAGTGCAGCAGTTCGAGTTGCCACGTTCCAAATAGCACACAAAGGTAGACAAGAAGATGAGTGAAGAGAATCAATACAGTTTTGACAAGTATAAGAGTGAAACAGTATGAGTAATGGTAGAAAGGAATATGAAGGTTAAAGAGACTGAATACATCTGCGTAAGCCATTGACAACGATTTTGAGCCATGTCACCTATTGTCTCCAGCCATTGATTCTTAGAGTTCCGAGGGCCCCAACCCGGAAGTCTGCATCTCCCTACCTGACTCATTTTAACTGTCAGGGATTTCATGGATTGATGCCATGTTTTTGTTTGGCCACCACTTACTCTTTTCCAACCTGCACCTATATCAGCTAGTAATGCCCGTCGGGGGAGGCGATGGTTAGGCATGCGCAGCATGTGACCTAGTCATCTCAATTTATGTAACTTTATAGCCTCTTCGATTGATTTTCCCTCTTTGCCCAACACTCTACGCCTAACGTCAACATTACTTACCTTTTTATGCCACCTAACGTGAGAAAGAGATCGTAAACATCTATGATCAAAAACAGACAATCTTTTCATGTCTTGAACTCGTATTGGCCATGTTTCAGAGCCATAGAGAAGGATGGTGCGAACTGGTGAGCAGTACACACGTCCCTTGGTTGATAGTCGGATGTCACGCCTACGCTAGAGACGGTGTAAGTTAGCGAAAGCAGCACGAGCTTTTTGGGTCCGTGATGAGACTTCGTCACCAATCAATCCATTGGTGCTGATACAACTTCCCAAATAAGTGAAGTGGTCAACATGTTCTATCACTTCACTCCCTACCACTAAGCTAGGAGTTGACGTAGTCCAGTCCTGTAGCAGCATCCTACATTTTACAGGGGCGAATAGCATGCCAAACATACGAAGATTGCTGCTCAAGGTGTTCAGAAGACTCTGCATTTTGTCAGCATCCTCCCCTAACAGGACTATATCATCTGCATATTCTAAGTCCATAAGACTATTCCCTGGTAACAAGTCGATTCCTAAGTCGTTAAGTTCAGTTAAGGATTCATTTCATTTGTTTTCATTAATCCAGACATTAATGAAAACAAAACATGTAGTTCAGCAAACAGTCTTTTTTCGATGAATTCATTCACTTAGCTGTACAATCGCAGTTACATAAACTTATTTTTGTATGTGTTTACATTAAGTTTGTCCGACAATAATAAAAATAAGTTGGGGTTGTGGTTGTCAAGCCATTTCAGTAATGTGATGAGTAATCAAATTGTAACTACGGTGGTGAAGATTGGTAGGAGGGTAGTGGTAAAAAAACAGACAACAGTTATTAATGTCAGTCAACAAATAACAAAGTTGAATAAGCGTAATGCAGTTACGTAATAAGATGAATACTTCAATGAGTGAGTTGTGATTAGGATGTACACAGAAACAATGGAAAATACGGAACTATGTAAGAGTTCTAAAAATTACAAATGTTATAAGGAATTAGGAGAAAAAGCAAGCACACAAACATCAAGTCAGTCGAAGTCAACACGGTTGTTACCATGATAATATAAGTGGTTGGATGATTTTCTTTTGTATATATAACTCTGGTTTTTTCAACTGAATGGCTAAGGCTTCAGAAATACAAAGAAAACGAAAGCGTATTGCCTTTGGTAGGTTGGTTTTCACTTTGTAGATCATTTTGAAGGAGCCATTTGTTGAGATGGAAACTATTTCCTTTCTTTTCAAATACAGGGAAATTCAGCTCTATATTCAATTTTCTCTATGAATATAGACTAATTTACAAACACAACAGACCATACAAATGATAGTTTTCTAGTGTTGACTTGCAGAGATTTGAGTTGTTTCAAGTCACATCACACACTGGTATCAATTACAGAACCACTGAAAACCAAGATGTCCTGGTTACCTGTTTCGTTCTAGTACAGTACACAACCATGACACCACTGACATGGATCAAACCCACGACCTCCTGGTTACAAGCTGAGCCTTTCAACCATGACTTTTGACTTTTATCAATTCGTAATTTATATCAGCATTCAATATTCCCACTACAAAACAATTTTCCATAAAGCTATAGACTTAAATGTTGTAAAGTATACTTAAGTGTTTGTTAGTTTACAGAAAATACCTGGTATACTACAGTCATATAATAATAATATAGTAATTTACGTAAAATTAGTGAAAACGCTACAAATAAGTATAGATGTGAACAATTTTACATTAGGTAATGTATCATGTCGGTTGGATGACAGTTTTTACAACATCAATAATTTAACTGTAGAAAACTCAAATGGATGAAAAGAGAAATTCAAATCAGTCGCCCATCAACAGAAAGTTGAACGTCTCGAACAAATTTCCCAACAGTTATTTTCCTCTATTCGAAATAGTAAAAAATTTTGACTTTGAGAATGACCAGTAGCCGCGTCTCAATATAAAAAGGATAACTTTGCATAATAAATAAGCCTAGTTTACTTATCATAACAGACCTCTACGAAAGCCCTTTTCGGCATATACTATGATATTGCTGACTGTGTCAACTAAAGACTGATTTAAATTGGTTAGATTACAAACGTATCATTGCATTTGTGCAACTATACAAACTCAGAGGTAGAGTTCT